TAAATTAATTATTCCAAGTTATGTTATAGGCAATATTGGCAATCAAATTATAGATATAAATTATATCATATTATATTAAATTTCGACCAAAAAGGAAATATTTTGGCATTTAAAAATTTAGTGCATATTGGATATATGAAATTGACATTCAATATTTTTAAATTAAATGCAAAAGTAAAAAATCTGATATTTATATAAAATATTATATATTCAGATAATGGTATTGCGTTGATTCAGACTAAAATCTAATTTATTTATTGATTAAAAAAATATTTCACTATTTGGCATAAATAAAAATAAAATAAACAAAACACGATGATGCGTTGGAATCGAAGTGTAAAGAAATTTGTGTAATAAAAATATAACATTATTATTAATATATCATGTATTATTATAAGAACTTCTGAAAAGCGGCAAATTATTTTTTATGGCAAAACAGCGTTTGCCGGGTCAGCTAGTATATATATTTTTATATTCCATACTCTTTGCTCTATAAGTAATACCTACACCAGATTATTATATTACAAATTCAAATGAGCAATACCTCATCTCCATAATAATTATTCAAGGGATTTTTTTATTCCACGATTGTAAAATTTTTCCCCTTTTCCCATTATAATTTTTTTCCCCGTTGTTGTTTTTTTTTCAGCTTATTTAAACGATTGCATGACCGAGAAGTGTTTTATTGTGTGACGCATAGAAAAATAAAGTTGATTCTACACTCGGATAAGGTTTTCCCCTCTGACTAAAACAGTAGAGTCATTGAATATACGAAATGTGGAATCATTTTTCGTTTTTGAGGAAATGTAGTTAATTTTATCTGGTTTCACCCTGTCTAACTGAAAAGGGGTGGTTTTATATGAAATTTGGAGTTATTTGACAAAAACCAAAAAAATGTCCCAAATTTTCTATTTATTGCTAAATAATTGAATATCAAATTCAAAGTCGTTTTGTTAAAAACTTTTATATCGGACTGTATGTAACTGTTTTCATGGAAATTTAGTAAATTTTATCTAGTTTCACCCTAGCTAGATTTTTCAAGATTTTTAAAAAATTTCAAAAATTCCAAAATTCTCACAAAATTATTTTTTTTAGCAAATTTAGAAAAAGATGATTTTGTGAGAATTTTGTAAGTTTTAAAATTTTTAAAAATCTTGAAATATTTAAATTTTTTTTAAAGATTTCAAGATTTTCAAAAAATTCCAACAATTTTGGAATTTTTGAAATTTTTTGAAATTTTTTTTTGTAAGGGCAAATTGCTCTAACATCCCATACCTAATATGAAATGTACGTGAAGTTCGAGCACTTTGCCTTAAGGAGGTCTTCCTATGTGACGGCCCGTTTTTTAGGGATATTTTAGGATTTTTTTTCTACGACCAGTAAAAATATTTAGAGCTTCAAGTTTTTTATCATTTATTAACACATATTTGGACTGTATAAATATAAAATTTCAGCTAAAAATATTCAGTCAAACTAGAGTTACTGCGCTCTGAACACCCCCGCCTCAAAAAAAGAGCTCCCACTTCCTCCACGATTCCGGCTGATCGGCTTATCTTAAAAAAATAAAAAATAAACGGCGTTTTAATTTATAGGCTTGAAAGCACGGAATGACCTATAATCAAATGAATATAAAAAAAATTGGATTTTTGATAGACGCGTGAAATAAAAGTTGCAAATTAGGCTTTTTTTTTGTTTTTTGCTATTAATAAAATCGAAGTTTATTCCATGCGTTTAAATATATTGAGTGTGCCCTGTAAATTTCAAGTAATTTGGTCCAGCCGTTTCTGAGATACAATGGAGGAAAGTTTGAAAAACACAGTTTTGAGAAAAACGCGTTTAAAGTTTCAAGTCCGTTGTATCTATGCTGTATCCTTAAAGTCTTAAGTCTGCTGTATCTTTAAAACGACTTCGTATTTTCTAAAATCGCTTTACTACCGTATTCTAGACATGTTAAGGG